CCAGTTTCCTGATGCAACCAGACGTTGTGCCGCCTTTCCTGCTGTCAGTTGCGCTTGGATATCTAGGGGATATATACCGATTATGGTTTCGAGTGCTTTGGTGGGGTTGACCTTAGCGCCCCTGATATGCAGAGCAGTGCCTGCCGCTGGGTTCTCTCCATAAGCTTATTATACGTTTTCTTCTCCATGGCTTGCAACCACACTAAGACTCTATACAGCAGATTCGGACGCACCACCGATATGTAGACCCAATGCATTAGAGCGGGTGAGAGGCCCCATGTGCTGCTAAGCATCTTCTTGGATGCATATAGCGCTATGGTGGCCTTTTTTACCCTCTCTACTACATTGGCCTTCCACGTCAGCTTGCTGTCAAGTACAATTCCGAGGTATTTGACTTGTGTTTTCGGGGTCAGCCTGGTTTTGTTAATTTTCGGGGGGATCCATTGCGGCACCTTGTATCTCTTGGTGAAGCGAATAAGGTCCGTCTTATCCGCATTGATATTGAGTCCTACCTTCTCCGCCCACTCACATATCTCCCTGAGCGTTGTTTCCATGATCGAGCTGAGGGTCGATGGACAGACTCCCGTGATAATTATGCTTATGTCATCCGCATAAGCTGTTATCTTTGGTGCTTTCCTCTCAAATCTCTTGATTAGGTCGTCTACCACCAGATTCCATAGGAGGGGCGACAGAACCCAACCTTGCGGCGTGCCTCTGTGCGCTCCTCTCACCATGGAAGCGGTGCCCAAATCTGATTGTACCCGCCGGCAACTTAGAAAATTTTTTATCCACAAGTTAATAGCGGGGGACGAGTTGGTCGCTTCTAGGCGATCCATTATTGCGTCCGTGCTAACGTTGTTGAATGCCCCGGATATGTCCACGAACACTCCAAGTGCATACTCCTTATTGTTTAGGGCTCTTTCAATGGTGGCTACCAACGAATGTAGTGCCGTCTCCACTGATTTCCCCTTCGTGTAGGCGTGCTGGTTGGTCGACATCGTTCCTGATGTATAGGTCCAGCAGCTTTTCCAGCGTTTTCAGTAGGAATGAGGTGAGGCTTATCGGTCTGTAATCCTTGGGGCTCACGTAGCAGCACTTTCCTGCTTTGGGCAGGAAGACCATCCGAGAGGTCCTCCACTGGATAGGGATATAGCCCGTGCTTAAACAAGCTGTATATATTGCGTAGAGCCATGGGGTGATCACTTACTTGGTCGCCTGCAGCATGGCTGGGAATAGTTGAACAGTTGATTTAACTAGAGGATATTAGATCTTTTGGGAGATGCTCTTCTCCAGTTGCTAGGTCCTTGTGCTTATTTGCATCGGGTACCTCAGTGCATCCTGGGAAATGCGCATGCATTAGTGCTGTTAGGGCCTCTTCGCTGCCCTCAGTCCACTGTCCGTCGTCGCGTTTGAGCTGACTCTGTATGGTTGGCTGCTTCGATAGCAGCTTCCGGAGTCTAGCCGTTTCCGGGGCAGTCTCTATATTGGAGCAGAAGTTTCTCCATGAGTTTCTCTGCGCCTTGCGTATTTCTTTCTTGTAGTCCCTCAGAAGGACTTTGTATTCCTCATTCATAATATCATCTTTCGCCTGCTTGGCGATTTTGAAGAATTCGTTGAGTTTATTGCGTCGGAGTGAAAGGTCCTTATTCCAACAGGGTGGCCTGATCCTCTTTCTCGTGTCCGATATAGGGCATGATGCGTGGGACGCATCCAGCAGTTCTTTGGAGAGGGTCTCTAGGGACATTTCTATGTCATCCGCGGATTCTTCTATGCCCGGAGAGATTGCGAGCCGTGTCGCGATAGTCTCCTTGAACTTTCCCCAGTTAGTATTCCGAAGGTTCCTGAAGACTGATTGTTTTGGAGATTGTTCGAATGCGTATTGGAACCGTATGTACTTATGATCTGAAAAGGATGGTCTCTCAAGGACTCTCCATTCTGATACCAAACTACCTTGTCCCCTTACAAGAGTAAGATCTAGCACGTTTGAGGAGGTGGGACCTACAAAAGTGTGTTCCTCCCCCACGTTTGCTGTACTCAGGTTGGTTGAGAGTATAAAGTCTAAGAGGGACTCACCTCTGTCGTTTATGTCGGGGCTACCCCATACGCAGTGGTGCGCGTTGGTGTCTGCACCCATGAGCAGTTTCTGGTCCTTCGGGCTGGCTTCTACCAAGCTCATGAGTTCTTCTGGTAGGGCCGTCCTGTCGTGTGCCATGTAGCAGGAAGCTACCAAAAGGCGCTTTTTCCCGTCTAGCATCACCACAGTCAGGTCATCAGAGCTGTAGTGAGACATAAGGTTAGCGTGTAGACCCTTCCGTACAAGTACGGCGGTTCTATTCCTGCTAACCGTTGGTGGATGGAGCGAATTGTAATTTGCGGACTTCAGTCCGGCGATGGCATTGCCTGAGGCGATCCATGGCTCCTGAATGAAAGCTATGTCGGCGGATCCTTGCTCCATGGCTATGAGGAGTTCCGCCGACGCGACCTTGCTCTTATGGAGGTTGAGTTGCAGCACCCTGAGTGTCATGGGTACTGGCCTCACCTCCATACGACGGGTTGACTACTACGGTCAGGTCACCGTCCTCTCCTTCGTCGGACTCATCCAGCGTCATTTCCCGGTCGGCATCCACGATGGTTTCCAGACCTAGGTCCTTCTCCACCACATCTGCCTTCAGGGTGTGAGCAACCTTATCCCCGGGGTGGCGCTTTTTGAGGCGCAGGTATACGCTACCCATGCCCCACGCCATCTTCCCGTATCTGGGATAAAGGATGTCCTCTGCCTCCTTGTTTATGTGGAGGACTGCACTTTGCCCCCCCTCTTTGGGTGATGGGGCCGCAACGTGCAGAACCTTCCAGTCCGCGGTTGGGATGTCCGGGTTCTGACGCTGCAGCAGCTTCAGCGCCCGATCCGCTTGGATTGCGATGGGGAAGAGTACCTTCGCTTTTGGAGTGGATGGGATTAGCTCCTGGTCCACCACCTCTAGCTTGGCTCCCTCCCACAGCGCCTCCAACTGGCAGACCGCTTGCGTCAGCAACTTCTCGTCGGGTCATCCATGCACTTTAGGATTTTGACCCGGTTGAAAATACCAAAAGTCACAGTGATTAAAATCCCAAAAAGAAGGTCACACTTATCTAAGATCTTTTTGGTTTCCTTTCGTATGCTCATGCGTACCCGAATTAATTGCTTAAAGATAACGAGAGCGTGCGGTTGTGAAAAATAAAGAAGTTTAATTAACTAAATCTATAATTAAAGTGTTTTTACTATTTGGCAAATCTGGCTGGCGGCTTCTTGGAGTTTGTATAAACTCTGTTTATATAAATCTCATAGGTTATGGGCCCAGTCACAATTTGCAGCTAAGTGCTATAGTAAAATGCTTTAATTGTTAAAGAATAATTGTTAACAAATAATAAAAGTGAAATAAAAAAAAAAAGTGAACAACGTACATATAAATATAACATATAAATATAACGGCGCACCAAATTGGCGTACATTTTTCATTTTCAGTGCGAGTGTTAGAGCAGGATAGCAACACAAATTCTAAGAAGCGCAATTTTTCTCGGAAGATGGAAAACAAATAATAAAAGTGAAATAAAAAAAAAAGTGAACAACGTACATATAAATATAACATATAAATATAACGGCGCACCAAATTGGCGTACATTTTTCATTTTCAGTGCGAGTGTTAGAGCAGGATAGCAACACAAATTCTAAGAAGCGCAATTTTTCTCGGAAGATGGAAAAAGGAAAGAGAAACATAATACCTTTTAACGGGGAAAAGTATTCTATATGGAAGTTTAGAGTTAGGGCTTTATTAGAGGAAAACGAGTTGCTGAAAGTAATTGACGAGAAACCAAGTGATGATGAAAGTGAGGAAGTGAAGCGAGCAGAGAGAAATGCAAAGAGTCTTATAATAGAATATTTGAGTGACTCTTTTTTAGTTTTTCCAATAATGGGAACTCGGCTAAGGAGATTTTTGAGAATTTGGATAATATTTACGAGCGCAAAAGCCTGGCATCTCAACTTTCATTACGCAAACAACTACTGGCTTTAAAATTGAAGGGTGACTCTCCGCTAGTCAACCATTTTCGTTTATTTGATGATTTGGTTACTGAGTTAGTTGCAGCGGGAGCGAAAATAGATGAAATGGACAAAGTGTCTCATTTGCTGCTAACACTTCCAACTAACTATGATGGAGTAATAACAGCGATAGAAACTCTCTCTGAGCACAGTTTAACATTAGCATTCGTAAAGACTCGGCTTCTTGATCATGAAATTAAACTAAAAGGAGTTGGCAAGGACACAAGTGCAAAAGTGTTGCAGGCTATAGGCAATCGAGAGCCTAGGGATAGCACAAACAAAAACAAAAAATTAAAATTTGTGAAGAAACAATTTCCGAATAAGATAAAGCCTAAGCTGAAGTGTTTTCATTGTGGCAAATTAGGCCACATGAAGAAAGACTGTTTCTTCTTAAAAAGGCAGGCAGGAGGCAACCAGAATATTCATGCTCAGAGTAATGTTAGAGAGAGACAGGCCCAGATGGCAACAGCAACGCAGCCAGAACGCTCGTTTGCATTCATGACGAACCTAGCTGTTAGAGAGAGACAGACTCAGATGGCAGCAGCGCAGCCGGACTGTGCTTTTGCTTTTATGATGATGTAATTGGCAAAGAGAGTTTGACGAGGAAAAGTTTTGGTTTTAGAGCAGGCCACAATAACAACACAGGCGGATAGCGTTAAACATATTTATTTATTGTTTGCTTCCGAATCGATGCGAATATATATAGCGGCGTCAGCAGTGCGTAAGCTTAAAAACTTTGTCTTTTTCCCTCGATCTTGTCCAAAACTAAAGTCGCGTCCCTTCTAGAGATCGTACATGACATTTTTTACATTTATATCGGTGCATCGATAAAGTCTACCGATAGTTATACAAGGGAAATTAAAAATTAAATTAAACTTAAATTATGGCGGCAACATTCCCCCCTTCGTAATTGATCCCAGGGCGGTCAGTTACCATCTCCTTCGCCGACATCTAGAACCGCAATCTTGGTAGCTGGTCGATCGAGAATTCCATGCTGCGTTTTAATAGTGGCTCGACGAACTTGGCCATCCTTGGCCGGAATAGTGTTGGTTACGCGTCCCTTAAGCCAAAGATTTCTGGGCAAGTTCTCGTCGACGATGATGACTATGCTTCCAACTGATATCGGCGGGCACTTCTCAAACCACTTGGTTCTTCTAGTGAGCATCGGTGTAAACTCCTTCACCCAACGTTGCCAGAAACGATCTCCAAAACGTTTTACCTCGTTCCATTGACGTCTCAAATTCAAATGCTCCAGGTTGATCGGTTTGTAGCCATTCGACGATCCCATTAACAGGTGGTTTGGAGTGAGCGCGGAATCGTCTTCAGAGTCCAGGCTGACGAAGGTTAACGGACGTGAGTTAATGATGAACTGTGCCTCCATTAGAGCACTTCTCAGGCTTTCGTCGTTGAATGAATAGTTTGGACAGATGTGTTTTAGTACTGTCTTGGTAGTGCGAACCAATCTTTCCCATGCTCCGCCCATGTGGGGGGCACCTGGAGGGTTAAATCGCCATTTAATGCCGTCGAACTTTACGGCTATTTTGTCGAAGTCGATTTTGATTAACTCCTCTCGCACTGCTTTTTCAGTAGCCTTGAAATTGGTGCCATTATCGGAATAAATTTCTCTCGGGGTACCGCGAAGTGCCATAAGATTTGTCAGGCACATCACACAGGAGCTTGTATCGAGACTGTGGGCGATCTCCAAGTGAACTGCACGCAAGGTCAGGCAAGTGAATAGCGCAACCCATCTCTTCTCTTTGCGCCTTCCAACGTTGACAAGAATTGGCCCAAAATAATCAACTCCAGTGAAGGTGAACGGTTTTTCAAAACTTCCCAACCTGGCTTTTGGAACTGCAGCCATTTGTGGAAGCTGTGGCATGGCGCTACGATTTGTGCATATTTGGCAGGCCTTTCTAACAGATTTGTGGAGTACTCTGAGCCGCAAAATATAAAATTTCGATTTTATGTCGTTTATGACGGTTTCGTGGGCGAGGTGATGATATTTCTCGTGATAAAATCGAACTAGCAGAAATGTTATTCGACTCTCCGGTGGCAAAATTATGGCGTCCGCAGAGTTTTCGATGGCGTTCACTCTTCCTTTTGTGCGAAGTATTTCCTTGTCGTCGAGATATGCGTTTAATCCGGTCAATCTGCTCTTTACGCTGATTGGTTTCTGACCTTTCAATGAATTGAGCTCATCTGCGAACTCGAGTCCCTGCGCTTCTTTGTATAGCAGATTCTGTGCTTCTTCGACGTGAACTGTAGTTACAACGCCTGGCATGTCGGTCCTGTTGCATTTAGCTCGCAGTCGATGGATATACAGAAACATGACTGCAACGGCTCTGTAAAGGCCGCACCAATCTGAAAAATATTCGATGTCGAGTTGGACTTTGGCCGCTTTACGAGTTGTAAAGATGTGTTTACGTAACTCAGTTGTATCGACCTCCGCTGGCTTGGAGGGAATCGTTGGCCAAGAATTAGGTTCGTTTTTTAAGAATTCGGGTTCGTAAAGCCAAGTGTTCGTCTGAGGGTTGTTGATGACTTTTGTGGCCCCGTCCGCAACGTTGAGTTTCGACGGGATCCATCGCCATTGATCCGCTCGAGTGGTTTCCAGGATTTCGCCGATTCTGTGCATGACGAACTGTTGAAAGTGGCGAGGATCTATAACCAGCCATTGAAGAACGGTGCGTGAGTCCGACCAGAAGGTAGTACTGTCGACTTGAAGATTACGGACATTGACGACCTTTTTCGCCAGGCGTGATCCCATCACTGCTGCTTGGAGCTCCATGCGTGGAATGGACAGTGGTTTTAGTGGCGCCACTTTGCTTTTAGCGACCACCAGCATTACGTCCACCTTGTCCTTTTGCTGCACCCGCAGATAGCAGGCAGCGGAATAAGCATGCTCGCTAGCGTCCACAAACGTATGCAGGTCGATGCGGCTTGCTTCTGGTATCCCCATGGAGTAGCATCTTGGAATACTGACTGCTGCAACTTGGGACAGTAACAGCTTCCACTGTTTCCAGTCCTCCAGCAATGACTCTGGCAGCTCTTCATCGCAGTTAATATTTGCGCGCCAGATCTTCTGCAGAAGAATTTTTAGCCCAATGGTATGACACGATAGCAGACCCAGGGGGTCGAAGATAGACATCAGGACCTGGAGAACTTCTCTCTTAGTTGGGACCGCAGTATCAATAAAGACGTCTCGCTTAAGTCTTGAGAATCTGCAAACAAACTTAAAAATGTCGTTACGTGGGTCCCAGTACATACCCAAAACCTTTTCTGTAGCGCTAAACTGCACTGGCTTCTGATTTTCGGTGTCTCCGTCGTTTTTAAGATGAGAGAGGACTTCTCTGGAATTTGATGCCCAGTTGCGAATTTCAAATCCGCCTCTGGCGTGAACCTCTTTGACTTGGTTAGATATTTCGATGGCTTTTTCCTCGTCGCTCATACTGTCGATAAAGTCGTCGACGTAGTGCGCACGCTGAATCGCGTCCACGGCTAATGGGAATTGATGTTGGTGGAGTTCGGCGTTTTTGTTGCGCACGTAGTGAGCTATAAATGGTGCGCAGCTAATTCCGAAGGTCATGGCTCTCATTACGTAAGTGTTTATTTTATTCTGGCTAGCGTCGTGCCAGAGAAAGCGCTGAGCATGCATGTCCTCTTGGCGAATGTTGATTCTGTGGAACATTTCGGCAATATCGCCGCTTACAGCGACTTTTCCGACTCTAAAGGCTAGTAAGACGTCGATAAGAGGGTTCAAACAGTCCGGTCCGCTCAGCAGAAGGTCGTTGAGGCATATTCCATTCGTCTTTGCCGCCGCGTCCCAAACCAGCCTAATTTTCCCTGGCTTATTCGGGTTTAAGGCTATGAATATGGGTAAGTACCAAGTGCGATCTTCCTCTTTTCCAGCCTCCTCGTCAGTTAGTTGCCTGGCGTATCCTTTTAAAAGAAGATTTTTGATTTGGTCGTCGATTTGTGTGTACAGATCTGGCTCGCCCAGAATCCTTTTCCTCATGCATTGCAGACGCTTTAGAGCAGTAGCTCGACTTTCGGGGAGCCTTTCAAGATCGTTCCGCCATATGAGCCCGACTTCATATTTTCCAGATTTGTTCTGGCACGTCTGCTCCAGTATTTCGACTGCTCGTTTGTCCTCGCTAGACAGTAGCTTTTTAGGGGAAATTACTTCAAGGTCGAAGTGCTCCTTGACTTGATCGTGAAGCTCTTGCCAATTGCAGTCGCAGTGGTGCATGGAAACGTGGCGTTCGGAGTTTGATGATCCCTGGATGGTCCATCCTAACATGCATTTTGAAGCTATTGGATCGTTCCACTTGCCTTTGCATATCCTGCGAGGAACGGCAATTTTCCAATTGTTTGTTCCGATTAACAAAGTTGGCTGCGCAGAATAAGACTTTAGTGGCAGGTTCTTCAGGTAGCTATACTTACTGCGCAGTTGGTCTATATCAACAGTTTGTTTTGGCAGCGCGATGTTTTTTACGGTCTGAACATTGTTGAGCCAGAATCGTTTTTCTGAATTTTCCGCGGAAATCTGAATTGATGCGCGCACGGAAGTATCTTCGAATCGTGTGGTTTCCCCAGTCCATTGTAAGCATATCGGTGACGGTGAGCCTTTTATACCCATCTTGTCGAAAATTGTTGCTTCTATTAAGGTAACAGAGGATCCTTCGTCCAAAAAGGCGAAGGTGTCGAATTTTTTGTCGGCGGAATGCAGAGTTACGGGCACGATTCGGAAAAACTGGCTACCTTCTACGTCGCTTTGGTGCGTGCTTACGTGTTGTTGATTCATCGTGCTGTTGGCTGCGTTGTGAACATTCTCCGAGTGGAGTAGTGGATGATGCTTCCTTGTACAGCCGTTCACTCCGCAATCCTTCGGACGACAACTGTTTCGGTGGACCTTCAAGCAACGGAAGCAAGCCTTTCCAGCTTTTGCAACTTGCCATCTCTGCTCAACGGTGCTGGATTTGAATTGGTCGCACTGCGTTACCCAATGGTTCGTAGATTCGCATGCTATACATTTTGGATTCGGCTGCTGCTGAACTGCAGCTGCATGGCTGGAATTTATGGCGTTAGGATTCCTATCTGCGCTGCTATTGTGAGTGTTTACAGAACTTGCCCTGTAAGAAAACGGTGTAACGACTGTCGACGCAGCTTGAGCTATTTGATAGAGCCAGTCACTAAAAGCCTTAATGCAGGGAACTGTTTCGTTGCGCGGTTGCATCGCCCAGCTTAGCTTGTGATTATTTGGAAGTTTGTCCACCAACTCTTTTACAAGCATTGGGTTGTTTAGGTGCGCTTCCAGTTTGCACGCTTCTATTGTGGCGCAAATATTGCGTACTGCGAGCGCGTACTCTATTATGGCTTCCAATTTTTCCTTGGGTGGCGGGAGCTTTCTCACCCGATCGATCATCCTCTCAAGGATGTGCTCCGGTCTGCCGAAGAACATTTTCAGCGTGTCCATTACTTCCGGAACTAGACCAGGGAGCAAAAGCTTATCTTTGACCATTTCGCGTGCCCTGCCCTTCAGGCACTTTTGCAGGCGAAGCATATTTTCCACGTTGGAGAATCCCGCAGCTGAAGTACTATGCTCATAAGTACTGATGAACATTGGCCACTCCTCAGGGTCTCCGCTAAACGGAGGGAGATCCTTTGGTAGCTTGTCTTGCGGCGATTTGGGAGCTTGACGGGGACGCAGGCGTCATCTGGAGCGACCCATGTGGCGATCCGGGGAGCACGTCCATCTGAAGTAGGATTTTATATTTCTCCTCGATAAATCTTTGTTCGGAAGCTCTTTTTTCTTCCAACATGTCGAGCATTATTTGGTTTCTGTTGGCGCTTAAATTAGCGTCGAGAATACTTGGGACTTCGATGTGCTCCTCCATGTCGATGAGAGCGTCCTCCTGCTGCGCGATTTTGTTTTCGCCGGGTGGTGGCGCGGTGAAGTTGTGGGTTTATTGAGCTACCCTTGGTAAGGCACGAAGCGCAGATCCAATCTTTATCCTCGATGTCGTCGTCAACGCCGGCGCAGTGAAAATGGTACCAGCTGTTGCACGCGTCGCACTGAACCCAGTTTTCCTGAGATCCAGACGACTTTTTCTTGCAAATTCTGCACGCTTCGTTCATAATTTGAGGTTATGTGAATTTGCACGTGGCAACGGCAAATTGCATGTTCTGATTGCAATTGTATGTGTAATTCCGGGTGCTTTGACTTGCTCTGGTTGTAGATTACGAGTTGCTCACCTAACGTTAAATGTAGGGATGCGATCACAATTTCACAATGTTATGGCTAATTGGAAATCGTCGCTTCGTAAATGTACGGTTAAAAGAGCAGCCACGTCTGCACAAGAGTTTTCAAGATTTACACAAAAGTTTTTAAGAATGTAATTGGCAAAGAGAGTTTGACGAGGAAAAGTTTTGGTTTTAGAGCAGGCCACAATAACAACACAGGCGGATAGCGTTAAACATATTTATTTATTGTTTGCTTCCGAATCGATGTTAATATATATAGCGGCGTCAGCAGTGCGTAAGCTTAAAAACTTTGTCTTTTTCCCTCAATCTTGTCCAAAACTAAAGTCGCGTCCCTTCTAGAGATCGTACATGACATTTTTTACATTTATATCGGTGCATCGATAAAGTCTACCGATAGTTATACAAGGGAAATTAAAAATTAAATTAAACTTAAATTATGGCGGCAACAGATGAAATTAGCTAATTCCAGTGAACAGACAGACGGCGTAGATTTTATATTAGATTCAGGGGCGTCAGATCACATAGTAAACGACATAACTTTATTTTCTGAGTATGAGAATATAAATCCGAGTGTAGCGATTGAGATTGCAAAGCGTGGAGAATATGTGTATGCTACTGCGATAGGACTAGTTAGTCTTAACAGTTCCGGGAAAAACATTACATTACAAAATGTGCTGTATTGCAAGGTAATCCCGCACAATTTACTATCCGTGAAAAAGATGCTAGATGCTGGAATGTCCGTCGAGTTTAATCCGGATGGTATAAAAGTAATCAAAGACGGTAACTTGGCATTTGAAGGGTATTGTAAGTATAATATACCGATTGTGAAATTTTATTTAAATAGAAAAGTATATACATCCAAAAGTTTAAATGATGCAGAATATCGCTTGTGGCATGAAAGGTTAGGTCATATTAGTGTAGGAAAATTCTTAGAAGTTTAACGAAATAGCTTGTTTGAAGATGTTGAACTTATTAAAAACGTACAGCTAAATAAAAATGAAATATGTGAGGCGTGTATTAACGGAAAGCAATCTAGGCTAAAATTTGAGAAATTTAAAAACAAAGAAAATATTGATCGCCCATTGTTCGTAGTTCATTCTGACGTTTGTGGTCCGATTACGCCCTCAACTATTGATAATAAAAACTACTATGTAGTATTTATTGATCAGTTCACACATTACTGCGTGACGTATTTAATAACTTATAAATCAGATGTGTTTTTTGTATTCAAAGACTTTGTGGCAAAAAGTGAGGCTCATTTCAACTTAAAAATGGTAAATCTATATATTGATAATGGCAGGGAATACCTCTCTAATGAAATGCGTGAGTTTTGTGTAGAAAAAGGTATCAGCTATCATTTAACGGTTCCTCATACCCCACAATTAAATGGTGTGGCAGAGCGGATGATTAGAACAATCACCGAAAAAGCTCGCTCTATGATTAACTGTACTAAACTTAATAAAAGTTTTTGGGGTGAAGCTGTTTTAACAGCAACTTATTTAGTTAAGAGGTCCCCAAGTAGAGCGTTGGAAAATATAAGAAAAACACCACATGAGATGTGGCATAAAAAAGAAGCCAATATTAAAGTATTTGAAAGTATTTGGATCGACTGTATACGCACTAAATAAAGTGCGTAAGCGAAAATTTGATGAGAAATCTATTAAGACTATACTTGTCGGGTATGAGCCAAATGGCTATAAATTGTGGAATGAGGAATCGAGGAAATTTATGATAGCTAGAGATGTAGTGGTGGACGAAAAAGGACAAAACTCTATGACTTTAAATGAAAATGACTCTGTGGTAAAACATAATGAAGTTAGCAGAAGTCATGATTCTCCAATTGAAGAGAATGAAGAGTTAGATTTTCCATCACAGGAAATGAATGAATCAATAGATTCTAAGTCTGGTGAAAACTTAAATGAAAATTCCACTTGTCTCGAGAATACCGATCCAGTAGTTGAAGCTGGTGATAATATACAAGAAAATGAAAATCAACAAGTCAGACGCAGTGAGAGAAATAAAGATAAACCAAAATTATCATATAGATTTTTAGAAAAATGTCTTATGAATACCCAAATATGTTTAAGTGATATTCCCAATACTTATGAGGAAATTAAATTTCGAGATGACAGAGCCTTGTGGGAGGAAGCTATTCAAGATGAACTAAATTCGCATTTTGTAAATAAAACATGGTGCTTAGTGCAAAGGCCTATGGATAAAAACATAGTAGATTGCAAGTGGGTTTTTAGTTTAAAGCAAGACGAAAATGGTAACTTACTAAAACATAAGGCAAGACTGGTAGCGAGGGGCTTCACCCAAGAATATATGATGGATTATGATGAGACCTTTGCACCTGTTGCACGAATTTCTAGTTTCAGATTTCTTTTAGAATTTTCTAATCAATATAATTTACTGATCCATCATATGGATGTGAAAACAGCATTTTTAAACGGAACTTTAAAGGATGAAATTTATATGAAGGTTCCAAAAGGTTTAAACCAGTATGATGGAAATAAAGTATGCAAACTAAATAAAGCTATTTATGGCCTTAAGCAAACTGCAAGATGCTGGTTTGAGGTTTTTGAAAATGCACTTAAAAATTTTGGATTTCAGAATCTAGATGTAGACCGATGTATATATATTTTAGATAAGGGAGATATAACTAAAAATATATATTTACTATTATATGTTGACGATGTGGTAATTGCCACCAGTAATTCCGAAAGTATGTCTAAATTTAAAACTTATCTTTCAAGTACATTTCAAATGACTGACTTATGTGAAATACGACATTTCCTGGGTATAAAAATTGATCGAAAAGATGATCAAATTTGTCTCAGTCAATCTGCATATATTAAAAACGTTTTAAGGAAATTCAATATGCAAGATTGTAATCCAGTTAGTACCCCTCTTCCAAGCAAACTAAATTATGAAGATTTTCAAGCTGAAGAATCATGTGAAGCACCATGTAGGAATTTAATTGGCTGTTTAATGTACATAATGTTGTGTACACGGCCGGACTTGAGTACATCGATAAGTATCTTAAGTCGGTATACTAATAATAATAACAAAGAATTATGGCAATGTCTTAAACGAGTTCTAAGATATTTGAAAGGAACTGTTGACTTAAAGTTATCGTTTAAAAGGAATCCTAAAGTGGATAATATTCTTATAGGATATGTCGATTCTGATTGGGCGGGAAATGAGACTGATAGGAGAAGTACTACAGGATATATATTTAAAATGTTTGGAGATTGTTCAATTTCCTGGAATACTATGAAACAAAAATCAGTTGCTGCTTCATCTACTGAAGCCGAATATATGGCCTTATTTGAGGGTGTTAGAGAAGCATTATGGCTAAAGTCATTAATAAGTGAAATTAAATTAAAATTAAATGGCCCAATAGATATTTTTGAAGACAACCAAGGTTGTATTAGTATAGCCAACAACCCTACTTGCCACAAGAGAACTAAGCACATAGATATTAAATATCATTTTACCAGGGAACAAATTGAAAACAAACTAATCTGCGTCAAGTATATTTCCACAGATTTCCAATTGGCTGATATTTTAACGAAGCCACTACCAACAGCTAGATTCACTGCACTGCGAGACCAACTGGGGCTGTTGGGGGCGGCGCTTCCTTCCTTCGGGAAAATGGGCTGGATGATGATGAAAAGAACTCCCACGGCGCAAGCGAAAAATATTCCGGAGACGAAATGAAAAGTAGCGGGGGCGTCGTGGGTAAATTCAAGATCAGCTTTATTTCGCTGCATACATGGAACTAACTCTAAGCTTAAGCAAACGGCCCGCTTACTCCGCTAAGCGAGAGCGGCAGCGGCCGATCCGAGTGTTCGGCAACGAAGCCCGAGGCCCGCGCTCGAGAGTGCGAAAGCGCTTAGCGCTGCGGGAGAGCGAGCGCGGGAGAGCAAGAGGGCGAGAGCGGGCGAGCGTTGCTACGCTGGGAGCGCTTGAGCTTTTGGACGCTCAGACGCTCGGTGGGCAGAGGGGGAACAGGGGCCTCCTGGCGTAAACATTCTCCCTCCCCTTGCAATCACTCGGGTTGCAATAAACCCGTACAGGACGATGGTATGGAGGAGCGGCTGCAGTACGCCGCGGAGTGCCGGACGAGGGCCGAGGAGCGGCTGAAGATTGCCGTGGAGACAAGGTCCGAGGAGCAGCAGTAGACTTCCGAGGCCGGGCACCGGCGCTCCGGGACCGTCGCGCCTCCTGACGCGACTGGCGCGGATCCATTGGCTGTTCGGATAGGTGCAGCAATCACCTCGCTGGTCGGAGAAATCGGCGACGGATCTTGAGCGGATGGATCTTGTTGCAGACTCGGCATCGGTAGGAACTGGAACCTCGAGTACATCTGCGCTCCAGCGCTATGGCGCTGCGTGGATGTGGAGACATGCGGTTGGCTATTACTGGCGGAATAGGACGGAGATAAAAATCGGAATTAGTAATAGAACCCTTGCGATTTGGAACACGGAATAGAGCTACAACACCACAGTTACATATAACATCGGAGTGACAGGCGACTGGTTATTGCGGGCAGACGGGCGCTTCCATCGGGAAAGGGACGACCTTCGCTATGGTCGTTGGTGTGCGAATTTGAAATATGAAGGTGCCCGCTGCTGCGAACGGGGTGCATGCCCTGGATGGTCATGCTTATGCAGGAGTGTGTGGTGGTGCTGATTGCACGTCTTGCATTGGTCACCACTGCGGCAGGTTCCCTCAGAATGTTCGTGGGCCAAGCAGTTTGAACAATAGCGGTTGTCGAGAACCGCACGGAGCCTCTTATGAGCGCTGAGCTTCAGGAACTGTTGGCATCTCCTGAGAGGGTGGAACCCGTTGCAGATTCGGCAACGGTA